AATTGTATTAGACTTTTTTTTTAAAGAAACAACTTTTCATCTTATTATTTCTTTGCTTCTACTTTCTTTGAGTTTTACTCTTTTGTTTTTTCAGTACTTCTTGAGATAGATGCCTCTTTCATTAAGCTGCAATCTTTATTTCATTCTGATAAATATATTCAATCCCACACATTCCCAATAAGTACTGCTTCCACACATAATATCTGCCACTTTCATTATTATTTAGCTTTCAATAAATAATAAAAATTATTTATTTACCTATTTTTAAATTTCCAATTTCATATTTTGTTAGCCCCTTAGTTATTTAGAAGTATGTTTCTTAATTTCTAAGCAAAGATTTATGCTAGTTATCCTTTTGTTGTGAATTTTTAACAACTCTTTGGGCACAGAATATAGATTGTATGAGTTCAACTCCTTGAAATCTTTTGAGACTTCCATTATGACCTAGAACAGGGCTCAGCAAACTTTCTGTAAAGGACTAGGTAGTAAATATTTTAGGATTTGCAGCCCACACAGTGTCTGACAATTATTCAGCTCTGCCATTGCTACGTGAGAGCCAGAATAGGCAATATATAATTGAAAGAATGAGGCTGGGTCACGGTAAAACTTTATTCTTGGACTGATTTTGAATTTCATGTAATTATCACATCACAAGATATTTCTTCAACCAGTTAAAAAAGTAAAAACCATTCTTAGTTTGCAAGCTGTGCAAGAAAAGGCACCAAATTGGTATTAGGCCCTGTAGGCTATATCTGTGGATTTTCAGCCTAGAGCAGTAATATTCAAGCAGTGTGCCACAAGAATTTTTAAAACATGTTAATATCTGACTATTTAGTCAGGGGCACTGACCTCTGTTCCCTTACATTGTCCAATTAAAAAAAAAAATAACTATAGCCAACACAACAATAGCCATCTGGTTTGAATGAATCAAAATTACACCCTTTATTTTTTGGTTAAATTGGCAAAAGTATTTATTTTTTTAGTGTGCCGCAGCGTTTTGGTAATTGGCTTATATGTGCCATGAGATGAAAAAGATTGAAAATCACTGGAGTACCTCCCTCTGTCTATTTTGTACCTACCATTTATGCTTCTTATTTCTTGTACCTTTTCCCTTATTCTCCACTCTTCCTCTCCCTGCTGATAACCCTCCATGTGATCTCCATTTCTGTGATTCTCTTCCTGTTCTATTTATTTGCTTAGTTTGCTTTTGTGGTTTCGTTTTTTTGTTGTTGTTGTGTTTTTTGTTTTTTTTTTTTAGGTTCAGCTGTTGATAGTTGTGACTTCATTGTCATTTTACTGTTCATAGTTTAGGTCTTCTTTTTGTTAGTTAAGTCCCTTTAAAATTTCATATAAGGGTTTGGTGATGATGAACTCCTTTAACTTGACCTTATCTGGGAAGCACTTTACCTGCCCTGACATTCTAAATGACAGCTTTGCTGGATAGAGTAATCTTGGATGGCGGTCCTTATCTTTCATGACTTTAAATACTTCTTTCTAGCCCCTTGGCTGCAAGGTTTCTTTTGAGAAATTAGCTGATAGTCTTATGGACACTCCTTTGTAGGTACCTCTCTCCTTTTCTCTTGCTGCTTTTAAGATTTTTTCATTCTCTTTAATCTTGCATAACTTAATTATGATGTGCCTTGGTGTGCTCCTCTGAGTCCAATTTCTTTGGGACTCTCTGGGCTTCTTGGACTTCCTGGAAGTCTATTTCCTTTGCCAGATTGGGGAAGTTTTCCTTCATTTTTTTTTTCAAATAAGTTTTTTGTTTGATTGTTTATTTCTTCCTTCTGTTCCAGATTGTTGATTTGAGTCCCAGTTTCCTTCCCTTCACTGTTCCCTGTATATTTTTCTTTATTTCACTTTGCATAGCCTTTACTTCTTCCTCTATTTTGCATCTATACTCAGTCATTTCTGTGAACATCCTGATTACCAGTGTTTTGAACTCTGAATCTGATAGGTTGTCTATCTCCTCATTGCTTAGTTCTTTTTCTGGAGTTTGCTCTGTTCTTTTCTTTGCGCCATATTTCTATATCTCAGCAGTTCTGTTACATTGTAATGGCGGAACCGTAGATATTCTCCAGGGTGTGGCAACCCACTTCGCTGTGTTGTGGAGCTGTATGTGGGGGGAGAGGTCAGAGAGGGAACAATGCCACTTGCTTGGGTCTCGCCCCCCCTTTCATTTAACTTTCCCCGCTACCCACAATCAAATTGGCCCTTCTGGTGCTGATTCCCAGGTGGATGGGTTTGTGTACATTCTAGGACCCTATGGGTTTCTCCAACGAACTCTCCTGTGAAGCTGGGAGTTTCTCTCACCTCCACAACTCACACAAGTTTTTTACAGCCTGGGGTATTGAGGCTCTAGTTCCCCTCATTGAAACCATGGGTTGCATGATGGGTCTCACTCCCCATTTGTTCCTCCCAGCTTATCCACATGCAAATATGGAACCACCCCATCTGTCAGCCACCCCCTTACCCAGCCTAGTGTGTCGCCTTGTTCCACATCCTCTCCACCCCAGCTGCCTATCTCCAACCTTCATACCAGTCTGGGTGAATGTTTCTCTCGTAACTCCTTGGTTGTCAGACTTCCATACAGTTCAATTTTCTGGCAATTCTGGTGGTTTTTTGTTTTTCAATTGGTTGTCGGCCTTCTTTTGGCTGTGCGAAGAAGCAACACATATCTACCCACACCTTCATCTTATCTGGAAGTTCAAAAGATCATATAATTTATCTTTATTCTGTTAATGTAGTAAGTTGCATTGATGGATTTATAAATGTCAAATCAACCTTGGTGTTTTATGGAAAATACCATTTGGTCAAGATACAGTATCCTTTTTTATATATTTCTGGACTCAATGCTAACCATTTGTAAAGGGTTTTTACATCTTTGTCGAGATATATAGACCATAGTTTTCTTATGCCCCTATGAGCAAATATTTCACCATATATCCCAAGACCAACCACAGAAAAGGTGTTCTACTGATAAATAGTCTTTGGTCAGAAGGTCTAGGCTGAAGACCCATATTCATTAGTTTATCTAAATTATTTAAAATATTAATTAATTCACTCATTCAACAGTTAATTTGCATTCTAGCAATATGCCAGGGATAGTGCTACTCATTGCAGGTTTTACTCCTTTATCTCCAGCCACCCCTCTTAGTCTTCATTGCAAATTCTTTCTTATATCTCCAACTTCTAAACATTGGAAGGCCACAAAATATAGTCCTTGAACCTCTTTTCTTATCCAGTTATCCAATCTTGTGGCTATAAACACCATCTATCAGTGAATAACCCTTATAAATCTATACCCTTAGCCTCTACCTTGATTTCTAGCCTGATATATCTTCTGCCACCTTTGTACACTACCACTGGATATCTAATAGGCATCTTAGACTTAGCTTGTGCAAAATTGAGCTAATGAGCCTCCCCTCAGGAAAAGGCGGCTTCAGCCTAACAATTACCAGGCTATACAACCATGGCATGATCCTTCAGTCCTTTTTTTTTCCTCTCCCATTTCATTAGCATTCCTCAGCAACATTCAAACTTTATCCAGAAACCAGCCACTTCTCCCCAGTTCTCCTGCTACCTATTCTGATTCAAACCATCATCATCGCTTGCCTGAATTCAGTAGTTTCCCAACTAGTTTCTATAACTTTCCCAACATAGCAGCCAGACACTACCTTTAAAATATAGGTTAAATTATATCCCCCACTTTCCCTAAACCACCCAGATGGCTTTTATCTTCTCAGAGCAGAAATACAGAAGCCTTAAAATTTTCTACAAGGCCCTTCTTATTACCTGTCCAACTTTATCTCCTTCTATTCTTTTTCTTGCTCACTCAGTTCCAGTCACTGTGTCTTCCATGCTGTTGCTTAAACATACTAATTCCACTGCCACCACAGGGCTATTGTATTTACTGTTCCTCTACCTGGAATTCTCTTCTATGAGATGACTCTATGGCTTGAGGTTCATTCCCTCATTTCTGTCAAGTCTTTACTGAAATATCATATTCTCCTTAAAGCTTTCCCTGACCATGTGATCTAAAATTGGGGAACTTACCCCCTCAGAGAGAGCCCTACTGCTCTTCCCTTCTTTATTTTTCACCTTGCACCTTCATATATTTTATGTATTTATGCTGTTTGTTCTCTGAAATTCTAAGCCCAGTGATATGAGGAATTTTTTTATTTACTGCTGTGTCCCTAGTGAATAGAACATTATCTGTCATATATATTTTTGAATAAATAAATAAGCAAGTGTGAGAGTGAATAAATACAAGAGTTACAAGTCAGACCCAGTCCTTGACCTCATGGAGCTGACAGTCTTCATATTAGTGAATGGAGAAAAGTCAAAGAAATTCTCATGGACAAAAGAAGTGAGAGGGAAGAAAGAAATCTAAAAAAGATAGGCATCAAAACCTTATGGATTGCCCACATGGTAGAAGTGGGTCCAGTGAAGGAAAGCAGAGCCTGTGTTTAAAGAGTAGAAGGGAATGAGGATAATGCAGTATCTTGGAAGCAGAGGAAAAAGGTTCAAGATGAAAAAGGACTATAACTAGGACCTTGTAGGTGGTAACTGGGTTAGTCATCATCTCTGTTAAGAGTTATTATGTATCAGGATCCATGAAGAAATGTTGCCAATTCCAAAACTGGCTTCAGAAGGATGCAAGGCCAAAGGTATGGAGTGAGGCAAGGCTGTGTAATGTGCATAATGTGCACAACATAGGCACTTAAAATGAATAATGCCATTTCTGTAAATGACAACATGAAAAAAAAAGAAAAACCTGATAACGATTTGTCATTGGAAGTTTTGCCAAAAGAGTTCACAATAGAGGATAATTGTGGAGCAATCCTTTTTTTCTGCCCTGCTAAGGTCAGCATCTATTCCGTGGGTGAGAGCCTTAATGGTCATGGCAGGTCAGGGACATCAGTTGGCTATTCTCATTTCTTTGGTTTGACTTTTACTAGTTTTTGAAAATTCACTGTTTTTCTGTTTTGAATCAACAGGTTCCATTTTTCGGGCCTCTGTTTGATGGAGCCATAGTGAGTGGGAAGTTACTGCCAAGCCTTATATGTGCCACATGCATCAATGCCAGCAGGGCTGTGAAGTGCCTCATCCCACTCTACCAGAGCTTGTATCTTTTTACTTTAAATATACAATTTATTAGGCATACCAGAATCCAGAATCCTGGCAATTTTTCTTCCAAGGTAAGTATTAACAACTGTGTTGAAGAAGGAAGAGGAAATTGTTTTCAGTCTGTGTTGAAAATAATGTGTGATTTTCATACCATTTGTTAATATATATTAAATATAGTAATTCTGTGCTGCATCAAACTTAGGAAGAGTTTATTTTCATAATTTAGTTATATAAATTTGTGCTAAGAAGCTGTGACTCTCAAGAGATGTCATATCTTCCCAGGTATTTTTCCCCAAGTTCCGACTCCTTCATCCATCCCTATTTGTTGCAGTTGGTAGTGGGGTCTCCAGAGTGCCTACCAGAAACCAACAGCAAACGAAATAACTAATACATCAAAGAATGTAGCAAGTACCACCAGAGAAGTAAAAATACTGTTCTAGAGGTTAGAGATGGGAGAAATTGCATCTAGTTGAGAGGACAGGGAAAAGCATCCTTAACCAAGTTACATTTGAATTTATCAGTAAGAACGACGAGAAATTCTTTTGTAATTTTTCCAAATCATTAATCTGCTTCTCTAATTCTTAATCTTCTCTAAAAACAGAAGAAATTTCACTTTTGTAATTTTTCTAAAAAATTAATTGGCATGCTGTAATTTTAAAATCCAGGCATGATAGCTGATTATAAGAAAAAGAAATTAAGTGACTTCATAAAATTGCTGCAGAACTCATCTACCCCCCTAATAAACCATAGAACATCTTTGTTTCTAATTGGTATTGATAGTGATTATAAACACTGCATTTGACCTTGTTCTCTCTACTTCTCCCAACCTAACTATAAGTGATGTGTCACTAGAGGTCAGGGGTGAGGGGTGGGTGAGAAATATCATGTGTGAATAGATACAGTATATGAAAAATACCTTTCATTAAAATCCTGGTCACTTCATTGACTGATATTTTGTCTTTAGATTTAAAAAAAATACATATACCATGTGGCAACTTGAAATTATCATAGAAATTAGTAATAGAAAACAGCTATTAGGTCCCATCTGGTCCCTCTCCAGAGGCCAGGGCAGCATTATTCCCTTCAGTGTGTTCTCTGATGCTTTGTCCAGGCTGGTGGTGCGTGTTTTGGAGATGGCATTCTTTGTAGTGATTTCTGCAGCATTCTAGACTTAATTGTATGGCTCATGTTGATTTAGTCTTCAGCATGGAGTTTTTATTTCACATGCTGTTAAAAAGAGTTTCTTGGTGGAAATGAGAAAGACCTATTCAGCAATTGGCTTGTCAATTTGCATGTCAACCAGCATAAGTGGGACACTCATCAGTAAGTATGTTGGATCAAGGCAAAAAAAAATCATTTGCAAACAAAAATTCTGTTTTATGTAAGTCCATTGTGATCTTTGTCATGTCACCTTTTCCACCCGTCTAACTTCTCATTATAAAACACATGCTTTGTTAATTTTATTGAACACTGCTTTCTCAAATAAGAATTAAGGTGACATCAGAATAACCAGGTTTAGGGAAAACAATATTTTTAAAGGTTCAAAGGATAGAATTCAGCATCACTTTATAAACTTTTCAAGCAATATATTCAACTAATATGGATGCCAGTTAGGGCTATTGATGTGGGTTAGTAAATGATGTGTTCTAAAATAACTCATGAAATAGCCAGGTTGACATCTCCAAGGACAACTTAGTATAGAAATTAGGAAAGGGAACACCTATTCTGTTGATTATTATAAAAATATTAAATATTTCTTTTGTCTTATACCTTGAGAAGATTTAGTTGGTGCTACTCAAATAATTCAAGACAATAAGTAATATATGTAACTTTTTATAGAAATGTAGTCAATGAGAAAACCTTTGCAATCACTTAACTACTCTTTTCTTTTCTTTTTTCTTTTCTTTTCTTTTTTTTTTCCTAGAGAGAGGGGGAGGGAAGAAGAGAGGGAGAGAATTATCGATCAGTTGCATTTTGCACAGGCTGCAACCAGAGACTGGCCTGCAACCCAGGCATGTGCCCTGACCAGGAATCAAACTGGTGACCTGTCACTTTATAGGATTATGCTCAACCAACAGAATCATGATGATCAGGGCTTAACTACTCTAATTCATTAATTTCTGCCTGCCATAGGGCTAATATTGAGGCCGGAAACCAAAGAGATAATAAGAAGTAAAGTGAGGGGGGAAGGAATTTTTTGTGTACTTTTGTTCATCTACTTGTAATTAATTTGCTCCCTTAATTTTTTGTTAAAGCATCTTGATCCTCACATGCTTTGGCAAAACTCTAAACTAGTTTCTGTAACAGCTGATATCTGGAATCTGCTGCTTTATGGAGATCAGTCTTAAATTTGAATTTTGAAAAACACTATTCATGGTATCGAGTGTCTCCTTATATTTGTTCATTTACCAAATAGTGTGGACTCCAGAAATATTGAGCCCAGTACTAGGGGCTCTAGGTACATGGGGACCAAAGCAGATGAGCTTCAGGGCCTGTGCTTCATAGAGAAACAAACAAGCTGATAAGTTCTGTAGAACAACTACAGGGTGGGGGAGATGGTTATGGGGAGGGGTTAAACCATAGGGAAAAGTCCTCTTTGGAGAGATCAAATAGGCTGAGATTGGAGGGATGAGAGAGAAGCTGTCCCCAGGCAGTAGGGCAGTATTCTATGCAGAGAGCACTTAGCAAGTATAAGGACTGAGGGTGTTCTCAGGTGGTAAACTTGGGTTTGTTTGGGGTTTGTTCTTTTTTAGAATTTTATTCATGGTCAAGTCCATCAGGGTGCCTGTGACAGACAGAAGAGCAAGCTTCCAACAGAGATGGTTTTCAGGGTGGTACCTGAGAAAGCCAAGCTTCCCTAACCCTTTAACTTCATGGCACCTGCCTTTCAAGTTCTAATCTTAGTATAGCATCAAGGCTGCCTGAATCAGGACCACAGGTGGGGAGGAAGTGTAGGGGCTACCACCACAAGCCTCTGCAAGCCCCCTAAGGCTGAGAAGATCAGTAATAGTGTGGACATACCTGAAATCATATCTGGCTACATAACCTCTGGGTCCAAATACAGAATGAAACTGCTTGTTCTTTTTGAACCCCTTGTTCAAAAAGAAGGGAAAAGTGACTTTAAAGATGCTAAAATATAAAACATTTTCCATTCTTCTGTGGCTTTGCTCTCAACTGGTTTTGGTATTTTTTATTGTTTAATATCATTTTAAGTAAAAAATATTGAAATTTAAATTATTAACATTAATTTTAATCATTCTGTGTATAGTATAATGCCAGTTTAATATGCAAATATAAGAACATTTTAACTCATATGGAATCACCTGAATTACACTTTATATTTCATAACTCCTACATGGATATATTTTGTTCTTACCACAACCATGCATAACTAATAAACGCTGCATAAAACTAATTTATCTATTTTTATTTCACTCTTTATATGCACATATTGTACTAAATCTCTACTTTCAGTTTACTGATAAGGAAGGACTAGCAGGAAAATGAACTATGGGTCACTCTGTATTTCCTTTTCCTTCTATGTCATCATTTTCAGGGTAAATTGTTTATTTTACCCTGTTAATAGAGGATTCCCAACCTAGGATAGTGCACCTTGCAAATTTTTTCAACGTTCTGATGGTGGGAAAGTGGTACTTGAAATTCCAAGAAACCATACTTGGAATTTTGAATTTTGATCTTTACTCAGCCTAGCAATATTAGGTACAATAATGAGTGTTGGCAAAGAAAGTGTAATTTCTTTGTCAACACAGGCCAATTTATATGGACAATGCTGTGTCCTTATTTTGTTTCTAATATTTAGATTACAGTTGTTAAGTAGAACATTGCCAAACTGCTCGTTTCATCCAAATTTCATTCACTTTCTAGGTATCCAAATGACTGTTTTATGAAGAAAGGGCATGCTGTAGTTCAGACATTCTATAAATCCTTTAAAAAAGGAGCTTGCGCTTTTTTGTATTGACCATAGATAACCAAACATTGGAACTGATGATAAGGAGCCATTAGAGTTAGTTTGCAGTAGTTATTCTCTCCTGTCTCTCTCCAGCTAATGATTATTGTGCTTCACTGCCTTAGAATAGTGTCAATTGAGATTCAGTCTAGAGATGTGGACATTTCCTTATCAATTTTGTTTAGTATTGTTCAAGAAAATGCAATATTTCCTAGTAAGCTGAGGACTGGGAGCATTGTTCAAATGGATTTGCTTTTTTTCCCTTAAATTTTAGGATCTTTTTGAGCAGTACATCCAACTTAGAACCTATACAAAGGAGTTCTTATTTGGCGTGGCATTGGCTAAATGATCATTGGACCTGAGTGGTAAAGGCTCATACGAGACTAAAAAATACCCTTAACTTACATGATAAAAAAAAAAAATGTTAGCACAGTAGGGATGTGTTTGGAAAGTACCCTCAGTAACATTTCAGCCTAGCTCCTTTGTTCCTTCTGGGTTTTCTGGTAACTTCCTCAGCAGACTAAATCAAATCTGTCAAGTGAAGCTTTCGTCCTGTGACCACTGCTCTTCTGAGTGATGAGGGCCAACTCACCTGCCATCTGCTTTTTTTATCCCTTGTGGGCAATCAGAGGGCCTGTTTCTGTGCCTAGAGTATTGCAAATGGGAAGCTTGCCACATGTCATGTTTACAGTTCCCAAGCCAACTAAAGATTCCAAAATCAAAACATGGTCAGCTGATAGAAGTTTCCAAAACCATTTGAACCAGTGTTTTCATTCTCTTCCTCAGATAACTTATTTCAGGGAAAAGGTTGCACACAATATGTATTGTGCCCATTAGGAGGAGGTTACCCAAAATCAGACAGATGGTGGTGTTTTAAAATAAACATCCACTTCAATAAAACAATAGTCTCAATGGCACTTGCCATCTCTGCTCCCTGGAAGTATCAGCATTTGACTGAGAGAGCTGGGGTGCCTAAGAAAAGTGATTTTTTACCTCATTCTTTCACATGTGAAATTTAGTTTCATTTACAG